AATAAAAAAATATTTATTTACTTTATAAAATAAAAAAATAATTACACCTGCTCTTCAAGTCAAGTGACCTTCAACAACCTTAAGGTGCATTCCCTCTTCCTTAGATGGATTCGAATCTGTCCCACCACAATATTGCTCACAAAAAATATTAATTAATTAATTAAAAATAAAGTTAAAATAAAAAATGACAATGAATTAGTAATAAAAAGGTGATACAATAAATGTAACATAAATTAAATAATATTTTATTAAAATTATATATTTTTTATATATTTTTTCTCCTAAAATTTTTTTAAAAAATACAACTAATAAATAGTTTAAATACATCTCAATTATAATTGCATTCGCTTATTATTTTTTTTTACTGTAAATTAAAACATAAAAAAATTAATCTCATTTAACTTTAAATATATATTAAAATTTTATTTTAAAAAACATAAAAGTTCATTTTAGTAAGAATAATTACTAAAAATAAAGAAATAAACATATTTTTCTCGAAAAAAAATAAAAAGAGATAATAAGATAAGTTTTTTTTTTTACAATAAAAACAATAATTAAAAGTTAATATGTGTTCAGTAAGCAAAAAAACTCAAACGTAAGTGATTTCCTCATATTTCTTATTTCTTGTGAAAGAACGCGACCTAACCAGTGGACCGTATGAGAGAGTTAAGAGATAATAAGATAAGTTTATTATTATTATTATTATTTTTTTTTATCAAGAAGATAAGTTTATTTCAACTAGCTGAATAAGTAAACGCCCACCGATGGCCACTCAGCCATTTTTTTCCCCGAAGTCATTACGGTGGGCAGAAACGCAAATAAGGTAAGTAGTTAATTATTTTTGGATTTTTTGTAATTTGTGCAACAATGGTGTCGGAAACTAAGGACTGAATTTCGGAATGGTTTCTGAAAAGGGCAAGTTTCGTCAACCCTTTTTTTCTATACCACACTCATCATCTATATATCCAGTGATGCTTATCCATTTCCATAGGATGCCCACTTAAATTTTCCACCATTCAAAAATAAAAGGCAGAAAAATGCTAAACACTTAAAAGAATTCTTACCTGTTTGAGTTTGCATATCTATTACTCCCTTTATTTTAAAGCAAATATTTTTAAAATTTTTAAAATTTTTAAAAATACATATAAGTTTTAACTTTCAAAAATAAATTAGAATTCTGATTTTAAATTATATTTTTTATTTAATTAAAATTTAATTTTATTAAATATTAATATTTAATTTAAAAACTGATAATATTTTTTAATATAATCAGTTTCTAAATTTACGTATTAATATTTCATATAATAAATTTTTAAATTTTGAATTGTGATTTCGATGATTTTTAAATGTAGATTGAGAATCCTTTTTTTCTTTGGAAGTTGGTATTGATACAAACTAATCTCTTAAATATATTTCAAATTAATTGTCATTTTTTTAGACAAATATATATTTTTTATTTTAGTCATATTATTATTCATTCACTTTAATTAATTATATAATCTTAACAAAAACTTTTTTCTTTTTTCTTTTTATTTCTTTTTAAGAATATTATAGATAAATACAATTATTGTCCCCAAATCTTTAATTTAGAAGAAAATAAAAAATAACAATTATTTTGGATATGATGAAGTAGTATTTAGTAGATCTCCTTAAATCATAATTCCAGTTATATATAGGGTGATAATATAAAAATAACTTTTTTGTATAACTTACACATTTCATTAAATAAATTAATACATTTAATATTACAAGTTTCAAATAAAAAAAATTAATAATTTAAATGATATATAAGATTATATCATAATATGATAAAAAAAAAAAGAAGGTTTTTTCTAAATCATTTTCATTATATATATCACCTGTTAAAGACTCGCTGAAGTCAGATTAAAAAATTCAAAAATAAAAAGCAGAAACGTGTTCAACACTTGAACGAAATCTTACACGTTTGAGTTTGTTTTATTTGTTAGTATTTAGTAGACCTTCCTGTATCATAATTCAAGTTTTATATATCACCTGTTAAAGACTAATTGAAGTCAGATTAAAAAATTCAAAAATAATTCAAAATAAAAAGCAGAAAAATGCTTAACACTCGAAGGAAATCTGACCTGTTTGAGTTCGTAATATCTGTTAGTATACAGTGGACCTTCCTTTATCATATATTCAGGTTATATAAAGACTAATTGAAGTCAGATTAAAAAATTCTTAAATATAGAATTAGACCCTAAACAATTGTTGTCAATTATTTTCTATTTTTAAAATAATAATAATAAAGGTATCTGGGTTTTGAGAAAGTTGAAGAACAGTATACATAAGCACTTAGAACATAAGACAAATTAGATTTTAGAATGAGCGGTGTTTCTTGCTGCTAAAGCATAGCATTGCAAAATAGAGCACAGTTTGCAACATTTTGTGACAGAATGTTAAAAGAATACAATGGAAAGAGTAAATAAAAAAGTTTATGATAAGTGAAACTTCCAGAGTAATCGAATATATTATCAAGAACATGGGTGCATCAAGTCTGCAAAAGAAGCAAGAATTTTGACTAAAGTATACCAAGAACTATTGTATTGAGTCCATAAAGTATTCATGGGTGGGAAGTGTCAAGATAAAAAAATGAAGAATTCCTGGTTTCTATGCTCACTATTTCCTAATTTTAAAGTGGGTGCTTGCAATTGTGTTTCTTAAATAGATCATAACATGAAAAATTAAACTGTTCAAGTAATAAAACCTGCAGATGATCATATCTGTCTGTCATAGAGAACAAAAACATTGGAACATCGAATGAAAGACTAGTAGAAACCTTATGTCACATCTTTGGTCCTTGGGAGATGATAATATCTCAGTAAGGCATCTTTTGTTGAACTCTTAGGAAATCATGGGATGCAAGAACTGCACATATGTTAGCCATCAATTTCAGTTTCTCATTATCTGAGATGATTGAAGTTGATACTTTACTTTAAACAACTGAAATAAAAGCATTATATAAATAAATGTAATTGTTAGGAAAGTATATGTATGCAACACCACAAGTCTGGTAGAAGAGCAGAGCTGCCCCTTTTTTGTTCATTCCAGCAGCTAGGTGGTTCAGGGACTCTACTTGAGGGCCCCTGAAGTTTCAAAATGTGTTTTCATATGCCTGCAGCCAATTAAGACCAAGAAGGCGCAGAATTGATTGAGATGTTACATACAGATGTAAGGTTAGTTTTAGACTTAAGGGAATCAGTAGAATAAGTACATTGGATGGTATCAGTCATCTTGTCAATAGGCTGACTGATGACGGGATATTGTTGGGTTTGTGAAGGTCCAGTTTCCACCAACAATTCTGCAGAAAATTTAACATGGTGTTCAAGTATATTGTAGGATTAGGAAACAAATCCAATGCTGGAGCAGCTGCTATAGAAGAAGAGATAAGTTGTTTACCTCGATCAGCTGTCTGGTCCTCTTCTGATAGCCTGGATAACTCGAAAGTTGGATCAGGATGGTCAGTTAAATTCTCTTCAACTACTGGATCAAGGCTACACCCACTATGTTTTGATGTGATGTTATGAGGCCTTTTCTTATTGGATCTGTTAGCAGTCAGGACATCCAACTCCAAAAATAAATTAATTTTTTTAACGAGGCTTACATATTGGCCATGTCTTGAATGATATTTTTATTCATAATTCAAGCTGATTATGCATAACTGACCGTTCTAGTGTTGAGCCATCAGATCTCATTTCCCCACCTGTAATTTCAAAAACACGACTTATTTAAAATGTCATCACCATACTTATTCTTTAACCTCGACATCTCTTACCATATCAATAAGCAAGGAAGATAGAAGTATTAGAGAACGCATCATCTTACCAGAAGTGCCTGGTGTGATCACCAGATTACCCTCCGTTGCTCTTAAACCATTGACTACATGTCTGGCTTTTAATTCATCAATAAGAATGTCCAGTCTCAGTAGCTAGACCATTTCGTATCTTCGGTACTGCATGACAAGGTGTTGTAGCCAAGATTTAGTCAGACTTTTCTAAATGAACTCCGAATAGAACGTCCCTTTACTACTAATATGGTGCCTAGAAACAATTGACTTATTCCTCAAGGACCCTAGGGCACTATAGACTAGCAATTTAGAAACGAGGTAGACAATTCATGACATAATTTGGATTTGAAAAGCAAAATAATCCCACAGACAATTTTTTCATTTGATCCATAAAATAGAATGGTTTGAACAAAACTTACCACTGCAAAAAAAGGGAGTCTGATGGCACTCCATGCTAGTGGTTGAGGAGAAATTAAGGGACTGCTCATTATATCCAACATCCTTCTCTTTATTGTCTGGTAGAGCAACAGCTTCTCTTCTGCAAACAAGGAAACACTAAATTAATCCATCTCTGCAAATTTAATTCTTCGGCCTTTAATAATAATAATAGTAGGCTTACGAAAATAGCGTAGCTTGTAAGTAACAATTAAACTCTGGGTTGGATAGGATTTTATCAATTAGGAAATCTACTTGGCCTGGGATTTTCCTCTGGGAGGACAGTGGGGTCTAGTACAGCTTTCATCTTATCTCAACTTGAGAATATGAAAATTTACCAATTAATTTCAAGAAATCTAAAATCAGTACGACAGCTGAACTATGAGGAACAATTAGAAAATTAGATAAAGAAAACAGGGTAACAAGATTGATTATAACGTGCTTTTAATCAAAGTTTAGGTATGTACCAGAAGCCGGGTAACGTCACCGGTGAATTGAACCACGGTGTCAAAACCCAATTAACGAAAATAACAGGATGAAATTTTATTTACCTTAAAGGAGTTTCACTTTTCTCTCCTAGACAATCACCACTCCATCCTATGAAAAAGAGGATTAACATTTCCGGTTAATTATTCAAATTTCAGAACAGAGTGCGTCCAAAGCACTGCAACTCTGTAATTTGTTTACCCATAAGAATTCCAGAGAGCCTAAGAACCATAGGAACGGTGGGATTCAGAATCTCTTCGCTGAAAAAAAGGCCACCAAAAGGGCAAAATCTGAGTTCGTTGAATTGATTGTGCAGAGAAAAATGGTTACCAGATTTTGATGATGTTCAACTTGTCTAACTTTCTCGAATTGATCTTCGCGTGCATCATAGTTGCCATCCTTCATAAAAGTATATAAACAAAATGCAGTTATAGATCTAACTCCTGAAAAAATTCAAACAAAGTAAATTACCAAAATCGAATTGATCAAAGCGTATTGCAGGATTCGCTATTTGCATCCTATTTTCATTCTATTTTCAGAAAGAAAACCAAACAGAGAATGTTTTACAAACTAGAAAACTGCAAAATCACTTAATCATGATTGACGAAAATAAAAATGAAGATCAGGATTCACATATGTACGTTAGCTCATACAAAACCACAGTACCAGTACAAAAACAGAGCAAATCTGAAGAAACACTCGAAAATAAGAGATAAATTGCAGAGACGAGAACAATTCGAGTTCATAACCAAGTACAGGAGAAAACCGCAATCAAATTCAAGAAACCATTTCTAGCAGAGAGGAGCTTTGCGCGCTAGGAGCTGGTGCGAGTAAAACACCTCCGCCCTCTTTTTTTTCCTTTTTAGATTTCAAAAACTGAGAAAATAGAAATGAAAAATAGAGAGTCGGCGGACGAAGTTCCAGTGAAAAATAGAGAGGAAGAGAAGAAGAAGGAGGAGGAAGACGGGCTCTATGCGTGTGGTTTTTGATTCTCCATAACAACCTATAAACCCGACGGCGCGATGATAGAACGTGTTTGTATTATCTTTTTATACATGTTATTTTATGTTGGATTTATATAATATGTGTACTTATAACATGTGTTAAGAGCTAATTAATATATTTTTT